AGAGTTAAAATACAAATTCCTGTTTCCTCTTTGACTCTTTAGCTGTCCAATCTAATGCAACCAAACATAGCTCAGAAATGGGCTGCTTGGGACAAAGATTCAAACCTTCATGTATTTGAAAATGAGTATTGTAAAATTGTGTGGTCCTGACTGGTTCTAAACCAGCCTCAAACAGTGGCCTGTAAACGACAGTGACATGTGAGATATAGAAGAATATGTTTCATGCAAGCCTTCTTTATTTGTACAAAACGAAAAAGCATTCATCAAAAGTTTTAATATTTCCAAGAAAGAACAAACTAACCTAAAAATAGCAGTTACTTTTTGCACAAACAAAGCAGGACTCATTTAATTCAAATTACTTGTTTTTTGTCACAACATTACATTGTTGACTATTATTGCCTGTTAATTACTCCAATTAGTCCTCTCATAACAGCATGTTTTTTCTTTATAGTATTACTCTAAGTTCCTCTAAAAGTTCAAAAAAACCAATTATGACATTTCACAAAAGGAAGACTGGGATTTTAGTAATTATTCTCTGCACTTTTTAACTAATTAACGGTGAGAATTTGGTTTCCCGAAGCCAATAGAGCTAGCACTTTCATTCCTCGCTTTATGCAAGAAATTCTTCAAAATTCATATCGCACACAATATCTCCTTCTCCAAAGCCGTGCTGTGATATTGCCTCAGCCGTGGTGGAGACTGAAGGTGAATGTATTAGCATTGGGTTGGGGCAGAGTTCTCCATCCAAGTCATAGTGAGACCATAAGCCGTCATGTATCAGGGTGGATGATGTCAGTGTATGCACAGTAAGAACGATGAGGTAACACTCAACGCTTAAAAAGTGATGGAAGAAGAGGCTCGGGTCACAAACAGAAACATGTTTAGAGCAAGGGAGAGGTTTGTGTAAGACAAAAATGTGTATGATGCCAAGAAATGAATCTACCACCCGTAAGGATGGACTGAGCTTTTGTAGTGCATCCTCTGTGTGCTTTGTTTGATTGTTCAGTCGATATGGCAATCTTTATATTAGGCAACAGCGGTATTACTTGCAAAACACTCCCCGATGTAAATGTCATGACCCTTGCGGTCCAATTCTATCACATTGCATTAAAGTTTGGCATTCAAAATATTTCTTGTATTTCTAACATTTCTAAGGTATTGCATTATTATAAATAAGTGTCCTACTGAACTAGCTGATTGAAATGTACGTAAATGTGCACTGTATTATCCCCGCAAAGAACTTTGTCCTCTGCATTTGACCCATCCTGCAAATGCCACTAGGGTAGTGCAGCTCCTGGGGATATATCTTCAGATGTTGATGCTCGGCGTGGTCCGGACGACCAGAGCTGAAGGAATTACCCATAGTGCTTGTTTTTAGTTTTTTAGCACCCAGAGGCAGGCTACACAGAAACGGGGAGAACATGCAAACAGGCATACATTCTCTTAGGGACATGTTTGGTGATGGTGCCTTCATTTGTTTTTCAATTTAATTTATAGAATTAATCTATTTTTGCATTAATTTCAATTAAGAACCGTCCTGAAATCAGCTGGGCGCCATGGTTACCAGGCAATTTCCTCAGATACTGGTTAGTTGAGGGTTCATTGTTAGGATATAGTTCACTGAAGCTTATTGGAAATGCAACCAGGTAGAGTAGAGGAGAGTAGAGCTGGTGGAAACAGGGCTGTAAATGATGTCCACTGTGTTTTTGAGCTGTTGTGTGTGTTTATTTCTGGAAAAATTCAATACAAAATGTATAACAAAAAAACGATAAACAGAACCAGTAATATAGGAGCAGTCTTGGGCAGAACCCAATATTCACTGGGAACCAAGCTTCTGCAACTCAAGATGTCTGCCTGTTCAAAGCATTGGTGTTTGGTGTCACCATTGAGGCTAAAACAAAGCATTTCAGCCACTTCTGGCCCTCCTGATCTTGTGGAGCAGGTGCGTTGTTTGTGGGCGAGATGAATATGTGAGCATTTTGACCAATCAGCAATGACTGTAGACTGCAGCCCTGGGCCACGCTGGTGCACAACCTGCTGTACGAGTTTAGAAGGAGACGAGAACGACCAACCTTCGCACAAGGAGATTAGCATGGACGAGAACGAGCCGAGGTCTGGAGTCACTAACATCCCCACTACACTCGACCTTTTAGTAAGCTGTAGGATTTTATGTCCGCTGCAGATGAGCTGTTTTTGTTAATATTGAGGTCTAGGGGGAAATGTCCTGTGTAGCTCTAGTGCACTTAGTCTGCAGTAATGGTTCTCCACCGTGATGGGGCCTGGCTTAGGCTAGTAATACCCTTATCCAGATAATATGATACATCCATGCTGGGAACAGGTCTGACTTCCTGCCGGAAATGCAAACACAGCTCTGACATGAGGACAGGTTGGGCAAACTCCCATGATCCCTTAAGTACCTGATGTATTTTTAATGAAATGAAAGAACACACATCTTGTGCCGGATATATGTGTACATATTTAAAGTAATAATTTACGACCATAAGTATTTTTCCCCCTGCCAACAAAATGTGAATGGAGGTAATAGGCATATTACTTTTCACATAGGGAGTGATGAATTGTATTGTGAATCAAACATTTGTGATTTTATGAATTGTTACCCCATGTCAAAAAATGACTTGGCAAGATCAGAAGCAGAAATGCCTGTGGGCCTTTATTTCAGTTTCCAGTTCTTTAGAGTTCTTATAGAGTTCTTCCAGAGTTTCTTTGAGACAGAATGAAGACAGGGCAAGCATTTTATATGACAATATGTGTCACAGCAAAGACGCCAACCCACAGATGTTAGCTGTTTCAAACAAAAGAGTCACTTTAAGGCAAGGCAAGGCAAGGCAAGTTTATTTGTATAGCACAATTCATACACAAGGCAACTCAAAGTGCTGAACAAGATCATAAATAAATCACAGAACATTAAAAAGAAAGATAAAAGTATAAAATCCCTCAGTTGTATGCACAGCTAAACAGCACAGTCTTTAACTTGGTTTTAAACATAGTCAGAGAGGAGGCCTATCTCACATCTTCAGGAAGAATGTTCCAGATTTTAGCAGCATGAATCTGAAAAGCAGCCTCCCCATGTTTAGTTCTGACTCTGGGCACTAACAGGAGTCCAGTCCCTGTGCTCCTCAGAGTCCGGGCTGGTTCATATGGGACTAACATGTCACTAATATATTTTGGTGCGAGGCCATGGAGAGACTTGTACACAAGCAGAGCTGTTTTAAAGTCTATTCTCTGAGCCACAGGAAGCCAGTGCAGAGACCTGAGGACCGGACTAATATGGTCGTACTTCCTGGTTCTAGTCAGGACTCGAGCTGCTGCATTTTGAATGTACTGCAGCTGTTTTACAGCCTGTTTGGACAGACCTGTGAGCAGGCCATTGCAGTAGTCTAACCTACTGGAGACAAATGCATGGATAAGAATCTCCAAGTCTGCTTTAGACACTATGTTTTTGATCCTGGAAATGTTTTTTAGATGGTAAAAAGCTGCTGATGTTACTGATTTGATGTGGCTATTAAAATTTAAGTCTGAGTCCAGTATTACCCCTAGATTTCTGACCTTGTTTGAAGGTTTTAGGGAGAGAGACTGTAGGTGACAGATGACGCTCTCTCTTTGTTTCTGGGGACCAAAGACAATAATTTCAGTTTTGTCTGCGTTTAGCTGAAGGAAGTTGTTTTGCATCCACTCACTGATCTGTTGGATACAGTGAAGGAGTGAGTCCACTGGTCCATGATCTCCTGCAGTCAGTGAGACATAGATCTGAGTGTCGTCTGCATAGTTATGATAGGAAACTTCGTTTCTGCGTATTAACTGACCTAACGGCAGCATGTAGAGATTGAAAAGAAGAGGTCCCAGGATCGACCCCTGTGGTACTCCACAGGTCAGGGCCATATGATCTGAGACACAGTTTCCAATCTCCACAAAGTACTTCCTGTCTTCAAGGTAAGACCTAAACCAACTTAGGGCGGTGCCAGCGACGCCAACCCAGTCCTCTAGTCTCTGTAAGAGGATCTCATGGTCGACAGTGTCAAAGGCAGCACTTAGATCTAACAGGATTAGGATTGAGACTTTGCCTGCGTCAGTGTTTAGCCGGATATCATTTGTAACCTTGACGAGAGCAGTCTCAGTGCTGTGATGGGGTCTAAAGCCGGACTGAAACATATCAAATGAGTTGTTGATTATAAGAAATCTATTTAGCTGTTGGTAGACAACTTTTTCAAGGACTTTCCCCATAAATGGCAGATTTGAGATGGGACGGTAGTTGTTAAGTACCGTAGCATCCAGACTGCTCTTTTTAAGCAGGGGCCTGATGACTGCAGTTTTCAGGGCCTTTGGGAATATTCCAGAATGAAGGGACATGTTTACTATCTGTGTGAGTGAAGGTAACAGACTGCTCAGAACAGACTTTAGAAATCTAGTGGGTAGTACATCCAGGCTACATGTGGAGGCGCTCAGACTGGAGATTATCTCTTGGACAGTTGATCATTTACAGGTGCAAAGTAAGTTAGCTCAAAGAGCCTTTTAGGTTGTTGGATGGTTATCTGTGGATTGGAGACAATGGCGTTTTTGATGCCTTGAACCTTGTCATTGAAAAAATGTGCAAACTCATTAACCTTAAAGGCCTGATCACTTTATATTATGTCTTGCGTTTGTCCATTTTGTGAAGGCCAGTTCTCAAACCCACTTAAAACTGGATGTTGAAGAATAAAATATTGGTGAAACCCCATTCTTGATTCTTTATTGTCTTTATCTGCACTTTTCTGTGACATTCGTATACAGGGTGGATCCTTCTGTTACATACAGTACTATAGCTACTTATAGTGAAGTATTTCTACTACAAACAGTGTGACTAGATATAAAAAGGTTGATACATCCTGTTGTCTTGACCTATTTCCCCATGAGATCCTGCTGTGGCCTTGTGCGCCGCTGTGTGTATCGGCCTGTGTTTAAACGCGGAGGTGTGAAGACATCCTCACACATGCCCCCTCCTCTCACTCTGTGCTCTCGCCTTCGTCAGTGAGGTGGGCAGCAGGTAACCCCAACTGACAGAGCTCTCCCCACATGTACAGCTGCAGCCCCGGCCCAGTGGAGGCAGGTGGGGCGGCTGTGGCAGATGTGGCGGCTGGCATCACAAACACAAGAGCCCAGCTGGGCGCTTGTGGCTCTTCTGCTCCAGTGGTGCAGTGTGAACGTCCCAACACGAGAGGGGTTAAGCGGCAGTGACAAGTGCAGGGACGTGGCGGGGAATCACACTGATGCATGAGGTGTTTAAAGGGGAACAAGTGAGGAATATAAACACGGGGGGAAAGAGTTCACGGCTTTGTTTTAAGTGACTATATGTTTCCCCCAGCAGTATTGGGGAGAATACTTTGATTTAGTTACCACGTATATTACTGAATAAATACTGAATACACTCTAAACAGAACAACTACAACGTTATTAAATTCAGTCATTCAATCTTGTTGTGGTAGTTATGTCCAACTGATTTTTTGGTTATACATTAAGAACTAATATTTTACAAACATGGCATAATTAATTTAGTTCATACGGGGAAGTGGTCAAACAGTTTGTGTTTTAGACCCAAAAAAACACATTGTTTGAAAAAATCTAAAAGGTTAAACAGATGCAGGTGTACATGATAAATGTATTGGTTGCAACCACAGCGAAGAGAGATCCACTCATGGACAGACAGGACTGAGTCCAGGACTAACACAGGTTCTCAACTGATGGATTGAGATCATTTTGAGCCTTTCCTGGGAAACATTTCTATTATTACACTGCAAAAAAGTAACTGATTTGATATCATGTACTATATTTTTCATGTGCCACAGCGACGGCTTGTCTTTGGGAGTGATATTTATGCGGTAGTTCCCTCCAGATGCTCCAATTTATTCTCATTTAATGCTCTACCCCTTTTTGCCAAAAATCCAATATTGTTAGCTTCCATTCATTGAAGATTGTGGACGCATCTTTTCAGCGTCACGCCTCTGTCTATAATGTGTGGGTCTATTACTGAAAGACATTAACACAAAATATCAATTCAAAATATGGGTATTACTATATTTTAAAGATGTATACAGTCTCTATTTGGAAATGATCAATATTTATCTTAAAATATTTTTTTAGCACACCCAAAGTAACCCTGTTTATGTAATGGCCCTGATAAAAAATTTACCGCGAGGCCGTCTCGCAGGAGAAGGCTAAACAGGCTCCAGGACCCCCGCCAGCAGGAGGCCTCCACATGGGCTCCATACCTTTCTCCCACAGAGCCTCAAATTGGAGTGCAGTATTGTATTGATGTATCGGAATAGAAACAGTATCAGAATGATGGAGCGGCCTATAATCGGTCTAATCTGAAAAACGTTCACATTGCTACACAAGCCTTAATAGCGCTCAAAGAAAATTAATCAATCCCATTATTCACAAAGTCCAATTAAAACAGATCTAAACCCACCGTAAACCATCAGCCAGAAATGTCTAAAATGGCTCTGCTCGCCCATGTTAACCCCGTGACTATAGCCTTGCAGCATAATAATAATAGTAATAACTGGTTTGGCAGCGAACGCTAGTCTCTGGAAGCTGAATAGATGAATAGCTGCTTGTGCATAACTGTTACTTACTGGAGTTTTTAGTTTTCCTGTGTGGGCGTTTGAACGGAATAGATTGCACATGGCATCACACAAACTTATGGCACCCCTCGCTCCCCCTCCCGCTGCAGACGCCTCCACACCCACATGCACACAAAGAATGATACTGGCCACAACAACTATGCTTAGTCCACTCCAACTACTTTACATTTAAAACATTATGTAACATGTATCAGAGCATAAATACACAGCAAAATAATGTGAACAAAAAAAAACCTTTGGGAACGTTTTTTTTCGTTTACTTGTATTTCAATCAAGTTGGTTGTTCGATGACTTTTTGCAGAAATGGAGGCTTGTTGTTGGATGCTGTGCACTGATGCAAGAGCTATTGAGCTTACCCCTCAGTGGGCCATGTGGAGCAGCGTAGCAGCATGATAACATCAAGTATGCCATCTTGTGTTCATGACCAGAATGACAATGAGACCCATCTATCAGGGAGAGGGGGGAGACCAGGAGTGTGTGCTGAATGTGGATAGCATGTTACAAATGTGGCTTTTGTTAGTCCTTGCACTCCACCAATGGAATTCACACTTTGAAGGTTTCTTGGGTGAAATTACGCCCAGAATTATTCCAAAGAAGAAAGAAAAAAGCCAATGAAAATATGTAGTTTTTTTTTAGTTTTTCAGTTTTTGCATTTTTCATACAAGCAACACTTCTCAAATAAAGCAGCAAGGTCTTAACATGAATAGTACAAGTTGCCCTTTACCAAATAGAAAAGCAAAATCTATTTTAGTGGCATATAAATAAAGTGTCAAGCCTTATGGAGCAAATTCTTTCACATATTGCCGATAATGAAACATGTTGAAGATTACGACTTGAGAAATACAACTTTGACACATTTTGAAAACAGAAAGATATCTGTTTTGTCCAATGACTCTCTTCTTATTCAACACCACACAAAAATACTGTTTATTATATATAGCCACTATCAATGAAAAGATCCCATGTGAATACCCACAGATTCAACAATAGAAATGTGACTAAAATTAATTACAGTGGCTCACGCAATGCCAAAGAAAGATAAGTTTAATGCTGTTGCTTCTGAAATAGCGTGTTTGTTTGAATGGTTGTTTTTGACTTGCTACCTGGCAGAGCGTTAATTAGTCTCCCCCTGAGATGATGAAATGTTGGGAGCTATGGTAAGTTCAAACATTGCTCACTGGGCCCAAGGGAGGCTCATAATTACCGTAATTGACTAGTGTGTAATGATTTATTTGCCAAATGGTTTTGTTGGATTGGGGCTATGCTATTGTTTTATTAATTCAACATCTTTAGCATACAACAACGACAAGTATGGAAAAGCCGCTTTAGTTTATATATTTTACATTAATGGTACGCATGAGAATCATTAGAATCATTTGTGTAATTTTAGCATAGTGTGATTGTTATGAAATGCCAACTATTGTTATGAAATTCCAACTATGGCAAAATTAATGTATATAAGTACTGTATATGTAAGTAAGTATAACCTCTCATCAAGAAAAATACAGAATTCTATTGATTTAGGTTTCTTTTTTTTATACATTTATAAAACAAATGTTGTCTTCTCTGGGCATTTTTCAAGTTTTCAACCACTTTGCTCTCAATGTAAAAAAAAGAATACAATGACCCGATCAAAGGTGGAGTAAATGCAGGTCATGTTCTATCTCCTGATATTGCGATCAGTCATTAGTCACTCATCATCATGAGGCAAAGGCACAAAAGGTACCAGAAATAATTGGTGCACTTTCTGTAAATCATGAGAAAACTGTCCATAACCGGCTCATGCTATTTTTAGTTTGGACGCACAGTTTAGCGGCCGGGTTGATAAATCAGGCTCTTTGTGAAAACCCTATAATTTTATTCGGCATATGTGCAGAAATGACAGTACTTTAACCATGACGGAAAGCGACGGAGGGGAAAGCAGGGAAGAGGGAAAACATTGCAGCAATTAGGAAGACATTAAGATGCAGCTTTTCACACATATAGTTCTATTTATTTCCCCTGACATCAGCTCATGATAAAAACATACTCCTACATAAGTTCTGCCCTTCACTATTTTACTTATGGTGCATGTTTTGGGGGATGGGGAAACCGGTGCACCCAGAGGAAATCCACCCACACACAAGGAGAAACATACAAACTCCACACAGAAAGGCCAGGGTTAGCTGGGGATTCAAATCTGCAATGTTCTTGCTCTAAGGCATGAACGCTCTATCCACTCAGCCACTGTGCCTATAAAAACGTATTAGTTTTAAATACAAACTCTTGATCAATAATAATAATGTATGTATTGCCTGATATTTCATTCAGTCCTAGTCGGTCGTTGTTGTTCCCAGAGAAAAATGGCTGCAAATTGCTTCATTATTCAGTCATATCCAGAGTGATCCAACGCTAACCCTGATCGTGTCCCCTGCTCTATTCACATAAATGTTCCATTAGTCCAGGGCCGCCTCCCCTCACCTCCAACTGTTGCAAAAGTCTGAGAGAGAAAAGATCCAATCACGTCTGCACACAGCCTTGACCACTGAACCCATGACAGGAGCTGTTTACGCTCTTCCAAGGCAAACAGCACTGACAGCCATAAATATATATATCCACATGCAGTGACAGGGGCACGTCTGGAATACGGAGATGATTCAAATCAAGAGAATTCAAATTAAAGTCTTGTGCACTGGCATTTGTCGTCTATCCGTGTGATAGACCGGGTGTGATGGCATTCATTATTTTTTATTAAGGGGTATAGCTTCACAGTCACAGTCAGAGAATCCAAGTCTAGTATAAAGAGTCTAATCATGAGGCCCAGATGCCAATCAATGCACGCTGTATATGTATGGAGCGACTGTATATGTATGGAGCGACTGCATATGTATGGAGCGACTGTATATGTATGGAGCGACTGCATATGTATGGAGCGACTGTATATGTATGGAGCGACTGTATATGTATGGAGCGACTGTATATGTATGGAGCGACTGTATATGTATGGAGCGACTGTATATGTATGGAGCGACTGTATATGTATGGAGCGACTGTATATGTATGGAGCGACTGTATATGTATGGAGCGACTGTATATGTATGGAGCGACTGTATATGTATGGAGCGACTGTATATGTATGGAGCGACTGTATATGTATGGAGCGACTGTATATGTATGGAGCAACATAGACACTCTGTGCGCAGCCTACATTATTGATAGAATGTAAACATGTATTGTAACATTCAGTGGACGACTGGGAATTGCACTGGGCTATTCATCTAGAAAATATATCTAAGGGTTGTTTAAAATATTGATTTCAAGCAAATACAGGTGAAACAAACCATTCAACTCACAATGTGAAACTATATGACTGACACGTTACATGCTTGATGATGATGTTTGGCTCACAGAACTCTCACAGCTTATAGAAACCCTGAATAAAATATTATAACAAAGGGTCGGAATATGTCACTTTATATGTAATGAGTCTAAATAATATCTGTAGGTTTAACATTTTAAGTTGAATTAGAGAAAAATATAAGATGGCACGGTGGCTGAGTGGATAGCACTCTTGCCTCTCAGCAAGAAGGTCCTGGGTTCGAATCCTGGTCGGAACAGGGCCTTTCTGAGTGAAGTTTGTACGTTCTCCCCGT